GTAACATGCGGTGACCACGTTCAGGCGTGCTGAGCGAGGGCTGCTCGTGAGCCGACCAGTATGTCTTGTATTTCTCCTCCCAGGTTAGGGTTTTATGCTTAACAAAAATCAGTAGTGCTTGTCCTTAAACCCACTTGTGCCAACCATGCTTATTATAATTACATATTTAACTAAAGATTAAGATGATTAAATGTGAGTACACAAGGAAAGAGGAGTGTTTCTAGGAAAGTCAGATTGAAAATATTTGATAAGAAAAACTTGGTAAGAGGGAGTCATTAAAATATGCTACCAAGTTATGTGTGGGGGAGAAAACTGGAATTGATTGGGAAAATAGTGCAAAATTTGAGAAGGAGTCTGGATCAGATTACTCCACAAATGCCTTTAATCGTGTGTTTTTTTTTTTAATAGGGGTACTGCAGATTGAACCCAGGACCTCACACACCCTCTGCCTCTGAGACATCCCCCACCCCAAATGCCTTTAACTTCTTGAATTAGTTTTAAAATTCCAAAACTTGGAATAGCAGATGCCATATTATGGGTGTGATTTATGGAAGAAAGATAACATAGGAACAGAAAGAAGATACTAATTGTTTAAAATAAAAAGTCCTCCATCACGGGCCTGAAGACTGTTCAAGCCAGAAAAAAACTTCTACTCATGCGATTCAGTCATGTGCTACAGCCAGCTGAAAACTGTCGCTCAAAATAGCATCCATCTTACTTGCTGGCGAGTCTGTGGCCCCACGTTTAAAGCTGAGGTTCACGGGGTCCCTCATGTGGCTGGGCCCCCTGGGGACTCCCCTGGAGCCTGTGGTCTCAGACGGTCTCAGCCACATTCATGGCACCGATGTTGGCCGTCGGTTGGCCAGCCCTCCTTGTGGCCCAATGTCCTCAAGGGGCTGGCCTGGGTTTCCTCACGCACCGGCTTCAGGGCGGTACCCAGGGGAGCAAGAACAGAAACTGCGTAGCCTGGACTTAGAACTCCACAGCGTCACACCTGCTGAATTCCATCGTCAGTGCAAGTCAGAAGACCCCGTCAGATTCAAGGTGGTGAGGACAAATCTGAGCTCGTGCTGAGAGGAGCAGCAACGTCGTGTTGCAAAAGGGTGGGCACTCCGGGACGGGGGTTTGCCAAACTTTCCCTGCCATGCACAACAGCATGAATGTGTTTTTTAAATGATTCCTTGCTTTAATCAATTTTTACGTAATGAGCCAATTACTAGTCCCTACCATATCTGATAAAGGAATTTCTACCTTGAGCTTTGAGGAGCATCTGGGTAAGGGTAGGAAGGAGGAGGTGAAACTAGCAAAGAAGCAGAGGACTGATTGAAGAGGAAACAGGAAACCTTTCTAGTAGTGGTTCTTGAATTTGGCTGCATATTAGAATCACCAGGAGAGCTTTAAAAGTGCCGATGCCTGGTTTCCTCTCCCAGGGATTCTAATCTTACTGACCTGAGGCACAGCCTGGACATTTGATGCTTTTTAACCACCTACCTGATTCTGAAGTCCAGCCAGGCTCCAGAACCACTGCTTTGTAACACAGACAAGGAGCGGTGAGGAAACCCTTTCAAACAGAAATGTATGAAGAATGGGAAATTCTTTGTATATCATCTTAGGGTATACGTGCTGAGCATTTATGTAGTTTTTTAAATTCCAGAGCATTCATTATTTCATTGTCATGTGTCTGAAAATCTATATGTTGTGAGGCATTCTCCTTCCTTACGACTCCTCTTCACAGGTCACTGTGTTTTGGTACCATCTGAATACATGGCATTTAGTTGTAGGAAAATAATAACCTGATCCCTAGGTTATCATTTTCATTTTCGTTTTACACACAGAAAAGTTGACACTTCACAGTGTGCACAGCCTACCCATGGTCACTCACCAGGGCTAAAACTCTGATCTCCGGACTCCTGGCCCAGCTCCCCTACCAGCCCATCCCAACGACCCTGTGCAGGTCCTACCCAGCTGAAGGAAAAGGACTGCTTGACCAGCACCATTTAAACAGATGCTCCCTGAGAAAACGCCATCCATTTCAACCCTCACTTTGGAACTTGGGGTCACTCGCATGGAGTCTTTATTCTGCCCATGAATATACGAGATTTTAGCAGTCATTTCATTATTGCCACACAATGAACTTAATAGCCTTCATTATTTAGAAATAAGTTGCATAGAAATGATCACAAAACTTACTATAAATGGTGTCTTGTTATGAAAGTAACTTTCCAAAGGCCTCAACTGATACCAATCCTATCCTGTTTTATGCAATTAAATGTAAGAGTTTTATCTCTTTCAAAATATTCTGTGACATACCCTGAGCCTTCCCCAGTTATTCCAAGTTTAGCATGTGATCTCCCCATCCATGGAATTCTTCAAATACCCGAGTATCACAGTGTCATTGAGAAAGGAAACACCCCCTCGCATCTGCGCTGTCTGCGAAGTGAGTGCTTTACTTCCTGCTGCACCACGAATAGCTCCTGGCGCCCAAATCAAAAACACTTCTGAGTGGTTTTAGAATTGCTAAGCCATTGTGCGAGGAAGGCTGTAAGAGACATTAAGGATCACACATAATTTCACGAAAAGTTATTTGCTACTAAGTGCTCACAAAGCTGTATTTTAATATAAATACCATTTACAATTCTCAGGGGCTTAACTTGCAAAACAATAACTTAATAATCTTTGTCAGTTCTGTGGTTAAGAAACTGTCCAGCTTTGAGTTTTCTGTTTCTTGAGATAGAGTAGATGAACCCTCTTACGAATAAGAGGCATCCCGTTACCACGCAGGGTGATGTGCTTACAAACCCAGTCCATAGCACCCTGTTACCATGGTGACAGCCGTCTCATTCAAGAGTGTCCACAGGGGTCCGATGGAGCCTAAGGTCACGGGCATTGATGTTCCCGAGTGGATGGAAACTGGCCTCCTCCAGACAGTTATACAGTGTTCTCTCCCGTTAAAAAACCCCGCTAATTTATATTGTTTAGGCATGCCCAGTGGCCTAGACAAAGCAAATGTAATAAACTCCTTTAACTTAGCCAAATTTAGAAGGAATGCTCTTTCAGAGAAATCACTCATGTCAAAATTAAACTAGTTTCCAAGATCTTTCATTTTGATAATGCAGCCAAACTCACTGGAGGCGTCTGCACATGGGGGAAAGGGAAACACAGACGCTCCCTGCATGACCCCATTTGTGTTCAGCAGTCCTGTGGAGGGACCACAGGTACTTCCCAAGAGGAAACCTCTGCAGAGCCGCAGCTGGACTGTGGCAGACATCGCTCAGGGGAAGAGAGCGGTGTAGCCTGTTCCAAAGGCTGCCTTTGAAATGCACCTTTTCTGTTCCAAGTCCCGTCTCTGGGGCAGAGGGAGAGAGGCTGCCCATCCCCATCCACCTCCTCCATGTCTCCTCTTTAATCCCTCTGCCAGGGCTCTTCCCAGCTCACAGTGTCCGTCTCAAACAGGTACATGAGGGCAAGGGTGATGCTGGCTCCAGATCTGAACAAGTCCCAACACGGTCCCGGTGACTTTTAAACAATTCTGCCTGTGTCTCTACTTTTCATTTCTGCTATTAACATACTACGCTGAGCTGTGAGCACGCCTTGTGTGAAGTGGGCTCCGTGAAACCTTTGACGCTTTTTGGAAATTATGAATGTGATTAATGCCCTGACTTATAACCAAACATTTTTCTAAAGTTTTGTTTTTAAACGGTGGTTATTGCAGTGTTAAGTTGCGCAATTCTGTGTAGCTGTGTTGATGGATATGTCTTTCTGCTCTAAGATCGTCCATTCTCAGGCCAAAGCTTCATCCAAAGCAAGGCCTGGTCTGACTGCCATTTCACTGGGACCACAAGTGGTAATGTCATCCAAGGAACAAATAGTTTTCAACCCCGAAAGCCAAAGTTAAACTGGTCAAAAGAATAGACTTGAAGGGCCTTTAATTTCTTTTAGGGGATTTTTTTATATTTTGGAAATTCCTCCCTGGTATTTATGTAAGCATTAAGGCAAATTGAGAATTAGAAATTAAATTTCAAAATGCATAATGGATTATGATTTGTAAATAACTAGTAAGAAAAATTCAAGTATCGTAAACTAGCATTTTCACATTCACTGGAGTATGCATTGCTGAGCTAGGAAATGCTGAAACTGGAAAACTTATACCTAGTTTATCTACATTATTCATAAACATGGTATTTATGATTTATACGTTTATGTGCAAATGGAAGATTGGCAGCGTTATCCTTCTTACATTAATTATTTCATTATTAGCATACAAAGAACAGGTGAATGCTATGTTTGATAAAATCTCAAACACTATAAAGGCAAATCTCCCTCCATGAGAAAACTTTTTTGGATGATCGTGAACTTTCCACTCTTTGGACCTTTCCTCTCGTTATTTATGCGTTCTCCCTCCTTCAGGGTCCAGGCACTGACGTACCTTGGGGTGTGAGTTTAGGTGTTCACAGTGGCTGCAGGTGACTTTGGGAGGATCAGGAACCCACAGTCCGCATTTCTTTGTTGTGGAGTCTCATGTTTCCCAGCAAGTCTGCTTCTTGCAGAGGGATTTTGCCATGTCCATGGTGAAGTGTGTCCGTGGTGAGGGCACTGACTGACGTGTCTAGAAAACCATTCCCAGCCCTCCTCCAGATGTGTCTCCTACTGACGCACATTCTGAAATTACACTGTTACAGGTGGTTGTGAATTCAGTCCTTCGAACGGTAAGATACTTTATGTCCAGAAATTCCTATTTCCAATCCATGAACTGTAAGGAGGGATAATAAGCCACTTACAAAGTTCTATTTTAGTAGATTTGTTGAAAGATAGCTGGGAGGTCAAGGAATGAGAGTGTGGGTCTCAGGAAAGTAGAAGCAGCCCAGAGAAGTTTCCTGTGCTTTGGTGTTACTTAAGAGTAACCCAGATTGTAAGATTTCATGAGAATCAGGTTGTAGAACCAAGTCACGATCATAACGGTGCCATCTTCCATCACTGTTTGCAACCTGCGACCTCCACAGATCATCTCACTTCTGCTAAATTCTAGGGCAGCTCCCCGGCTGTCACGTGATTCTCCTTTGTAACAGTCACCAGGAGCACCTTTCTGTTATGTATTGATCTCACTAATCACTTTAACTCTATTTGGTTAAGAAAGGTACCTGCACATTTGAGTGTAAATAGGGCTGATTTTGCCGGACCCTACCATG